GTGTTGCACAAACCCAGTACTCAAAGATTACCTTTATTGATTCAATCCATTCTTCTACAATATTAGGATTCGGATCGCCTTTAAATTCCTTCGATTAAACCATCAAAAATGTTCTATTACTTTGATCCTCTGTGGTTGACATGCCTTAACCGAATCATGTTGAGTCATTTCTAATATTCGCTATAATTATTTCTCTTGCCTCTCTTGTTGTAGCTCCATCATATCTTACTACCTTCTTAGCAGACTCTATTAAATTTCCCTCTTGATCACCCAATGTTTGACTCGATCCCGTATTGTTACTAGTGTTATTATTATTAACTCATTTTGGTGGCATGATTTTTTTGCTCTTTAAATATCATTCATAATATGTTCAAGTCGTGCTCACACATATAACATTCAATTCCAGAATAGCATCATATCATTTACATTTATCACATATGTATCAAACAATCATAACCATCATTCATTAAACATATTTACTGATTTTTGAGGTTGCCTTCCTTATACCTAGGACGTGATTCGATAAATTCTGTTGTGATACCATATTTGTAACACCCCTAACCTAAGACATAAAAGATTGAGAATATTAGCGCCATTAACCCACATTTTAAGTGCAATGAATGCAAGTTAACAAGGTATTGTGACCTATTTCTAATACTTTTAGGTCTAAATTATGTTACAAAAGTCTAATAATGACGGTTAGGTCCTACATCTTAGTTCAAATTACACTTATGAATTTTTCAATATTTTATTATTTTATTTAAATTCTATGGACTGAATTAATTGAACTCGTGACTCTTGATTTTCCTAAATTCCTTTTTCTTTACGTTATATAAATTTATTTAAGTACAATCTATTACTTGATACGTACTTGTTTTTATTTTAATAATTTACCTTTTATTTTAATTACAAATTGAATTTATCTTATTATTTGGTGATTAATTATTAGTTACCATTTGCCTTAGTTAAGGTTCTAATTTACTTATGGTACTAGTACGGGAATAAATAGCTTAGAGGAGCTTACATTAATTACCATTACACTATATTTTATTATCGATATTTTATTTACATACATACCATTACTAACATACAAAAACTAGTTTAATGTCACATACTACAAAGTGACTTATTTATTGGTCTACATCATATTAACAACTTCCTATCTATTTGTCTATTGCTTTAAGTACAACATAAAACGAGTCCAACTAATCCTAATATATAGATGACATCAACTAATATTAGGAAGAAAATAGCATGGAGTAGGTAAACTTGAAAACCAAATCCCCATCTAACGTATAAATGTCCGATGCAACCCTCGGAGATTAGCTCAACGGAAAAGTAAGCCATAATCACCTAAATTATCTACATGACAAGAAAAATAGATGAGCAACGACTTAGTAAGTTCAACGATATATGCTATGCATGTAATGAAAATACATATGAAAATCATTTGCATGCTTGTATACAATCCTCGTTCCCATGTCATAGATACGTTTTATGATCGATCCGAAAATCTTTTTTCCATATTTAGACAAGTCCCATTATAAGTTCCTCATGGTTTCTATAGTATGTCTAGCAAACCAGACACTGTCTATGGCCGTGCACCCTATCGAGTCTCCGAAAATGCACATCTACGCTCTGCTCAACCCTATCCTTTAAACCATGAACCATTATAGGTATGGAAAACCCATGAATCCCTCCTCATAAAAATCCTCATTGTCATGAAAATCTTAATCCATAAATCTTTCCAATTGCTAGTGGAAAATTATGACATAAAAACATATTTTCATCTATGACTTTAAAACATCTTTCATAAAATTAGGCATGCATATGCATTTTATTGAAAATGCATAACCATTATTGCTTCATGAAATGTATGTCATAAATGAAATGCATTTATATTGCATAATTTAACAACATAAATGCATTATCAATACTACCCTAATAAAATCATTTCAAGCCATTATAAATAACCACATTAATACTCAACGTAAAATATCCCAACTTCGTAACAACCAATATTGTAACTTACACATTCCATGTACATTTTAAACTCATCAATTGGCATTTCAAAACTCAACTAAACATTAAAATGCACAAAACTCTAATTTTCCTAACTTAGGTCTGAATAGTACTCGAACTTAACCTAACCATTTTCTTCTAACTTTAATATGCATTTCCTACACAATTCCACTCACAAACCCTAACATCAATACTAACTTAATTAAGTGTTAATTGGCTATTTACATGTACAATTTCCAAATTGAGTCTTATTGGACCTAAACCCTAATCTCACTAACATAAGCAAATTTTTAGATTTAAATAAGATTTTTCATTCTAATTCATCTCATCACATTATTCTAAACTTGAATTAATTTATTTAGTACTAAAGATCATTTAAAACCTAATCCAAATTTAATTCATCTTTGGGTCGAAACTTCCCTTAAGCATAACCTAATTATTTTCTTTTCATTTCATCATTAAATTCTAATATCAAGTATTTTAATCACACTTTAGTAATAAGAATCAATTTAATTGAAATTTATGAAACAATTGTATGCCTAAACCCTAATTGGGCCTTAATGGGCCGAAATTGGGCCTAAGCGAAATTAAGCAATTTTCTTCAACTTTCCTAGAATTTTTTATTCCTATTTATCAAATTATATACATTCAAATATCAATTAACTAATAATTCATCAATTGAATGAAAGAATCAAAACCCTAAAATTTTGGGTTTTAGGTCGAATATAAACCTTAAGAAATTCATTTTTTTCTTCCATTTAAATGAAAATTTTCATGCCTAAATATTAATTCACACCTAATTAAGTAATAATCAAGCTGTAGAGAAAAAATTACATGAAAGAATCATAAAGCCTTAAATTACCATTTTGGGCCGAAAGTTCACCCATGCCTAACCCTAGAAAATTTTTTATTTTTAAACCTCAAATTTAAGTTTAGTTGATATCTTTTAACCTTAATTGCATGAGTTACTAACTCAATTTTATTTTCCTCAATTTTTCTTCACCAAGAACCCTAACCCTAATTTTTAAAATTAAGACTAAAATTGACAAATTAAAGCATTCAAATCATAAATTGACATCAATTAAACACTTCCTATGATTTAGATGAAGTTAACTTACTTAATTAAGCTCTAAATTAACTTTGAAAAGTTGGGTTGCTTGAGAATTCTTTTCCTCCTCTTTTTCCTCTTAAATTCGGGTGAGCTCCTTTTATTTTCTCCTTGAAAATTTTTAGCTTTCAACTTGAAATTGAAGCTTAATTCACTCATTTGAAGTAACTAAAATTAGTTGGGATTATTTTGGATAAATGTTAAGAGGAAATTTGAAAGAGTTTCCTTTGTGTTTTTCTATTTTCCTTCCATTATTAATTTTTCCAACTCTCCTATTTATAAGCACATTTTGTGGACTTGTTAACCTCATCTTCACTCTTAATTTGGATAAATCTTAGCCCTTAATTCAATCTTCAATCCCTTCTTTTCATTTGGCTAAATTTTTAGCCATTTATCCTTCTTTTAGTTTAAGGCTTCCATTTAGCTCAATTAAGGCCACAATTTTTACTAAAATTCAAGAGTAATTAATGCTCTAAGTCGGCCAAAGCTGAAGGAAAAATAATTAATTCTAATCACTCAAGTTTCTAAAATGTTCCATGACCTATTCTTTCATAAAATTCATCTCATGACCAACTCGCTTTTTGTTGGGCCAAAAAAAAATTGTTTAAGATAATTCTCACATTTAAATTACGTGACATATGCTAGTTTCTTTGTTATGATAATCCTCTACAACTAAACGTTTCTTATTATTCTGCTCTCCTAGTACAGTGTACATTTTATTAAAGAATAAAACATAATAAATTAGTATTTTTATCTGCCTGACTTATTAGATAGGGAGTGTTAAACAGAATTAGAGATACCGCTTTGTGTGAAATTTCATTGCGTCCTATTTTTCGTGCATGTCCTATTATGTTAATGAGTGGACTGGATGCAGCAGCAATTGAAGCCTAATAAAGCTGCACAGGATTTTGGACACCCTGAATAAAATTGGAGGGAAGCTACATAATTTTAGTCCGGAAATGGAACTTTTCCATTCAAAAGTTTCTTAGTCAAAAACTGCACAGGGCGTGCAAGTATACCTAGACTTTAGAAATAAACTGTATAGTAGCAAATTAACAAAGTTAAATGCATGAATGCCACGTGTGTTGACAAGCTCTGAGATATGTTTTGGGGGGCCATTAATGGGTATCATTCTCACCGACAGCATTTGGAGTTGACGATCCTTTAAAACATTTTCAGTGTGTTTTCAGAATGCATGTGGAATGGTAAATGATCTATTCCTGATAGGAGCAGTACTTGCCGCTTGCAAGGTAACTGTTCCCCTGGGTAACAGAAAAGAACTTTTTTTCTGCACGAGAAAGGCTCCAGACACGAAATCTTGTATTTTCAAGAACAGTTTTGGCTGCATATACTTGGCAGTAGTTTTTAAGTATGCCAATTGGTTCATGCTCTTATGTCATGTCTCATTGCAGATGGAGACAGTTCTTTCCGTCAAATAATTGGTCATTTTACACGTTCTTTATAGTACCCTCTTTCGCCGTCCTATTTTGTATTCTCTCCTTTGGCACTTTCCCTTCTTGGCTCCTCCCTCTCCCATTCGTTCTCGCTCTCTCTACGGCTAATATATGGAGTATATATCAATGCCAACATACTGATCTGCTGCAGAGGATAAGGGACATGCTGCCTCTTCTAGCTCACCACGACTATCCACATTTTCAAATACCATATAATAATTTATTAATTCACAGCTGCTTCAAAATTTTGGTACTAATTACGTGTTTTTAACGACCACCTTAACCAATTGAGCTTGGCGATACGTTACCTATTGCTGCCATAATAAAGAAGCACGAACCTTTTTTTCTAAAATTATACTCCTTCCCTTCCCTATATAGAAATTTCTACAGCTCAGTCCTTTTCTCGCCTAAGAAAAATGACCTCTGCAACTTTCTTATCAATTCTGGTTCCATACATAATTTCTTTCATTGTTTTCCTTTTTTTTGTCGACCAGATCAACTATTTGATAAAGAAACGACGAGCTCCGGGTCCTGTTTTTGTGCTTCCATTTATTGGCAACGCAATTTCTTTAGTAAGAGACCCAACTTCATTCTGGGACACCCAATCGGCCAATAGTTCTCGTTCTGGATTCTCTGCTAACTACATAATCGGGAGGTTCATTTTATACATTCGCGACACTAATCTCTCCCACCTCATTTTCTCAAATGTACGCCCTGATGCTTTCTTGCTAGTTGGCCACCCTTTTGGAAAGAAACTATTTGGCGAGCACAATTTGATTTACATGTTCGGTCAGGAACACAAAGATCTCCGTCGGCGAATCGCTCCCAACTTCACTCCTCGAGCTCTTTCAACCTACACCTCACTCCAGCAGATAATCATTCTCAAGCACTTGAAAAAATGGGAGAGCTTATCGTCAAACAATCCAAACAAGCCCCTCTCTCTCCGCTTGTTAGTTCGCGACATGAACCTCGAGACTTCACAGACCGTTTTTGTCGGTCCGTATTTGAGCCAAGAAGCACGGGAGCGATTCAAGCTGGATTACAATTTGTTCAACGTTGGACTAATGGAACTCCCTATTGACCTCCCAGGTTTCGCGTTTCGAAATGCGAGACTGGCCGTTGACAGGTTAGCAGAAACCCTCACAGAATGCACACGAATGAGCAAGACAAAAATGGAGAACAACCAAGAACCATCCTGCTTGATAGATTTCTGGATGCGAGAAATGCTCAAAGAAACATCCGACGCCAAATCCGACGAAGAGCCAGCTCCACGGCACAGTAGCTACGCCGAGATCGGAGGCCACCTTTTCGACTTCCTCTTTGCTGCGCAGGATGCTTCAACGTCATCGCTGCTTTGGGCGGTCGCGCTTCTCGACTCGTACCCCGAAGTCCTGTTGAAGGTTCGAGAGGAAGTATCGAGTTTCTGGTCACCAGAATCTGATGGTTTGATAAATACGGAGCAGCTTAGGGAAATGAAGTACACGCAGGCGGTGGCACGTGAAGTGCTGAGGTACCGTCCACCGGCGACCCTAGTTCCACATGTAGCTATGAAGGACTTTGCATTGACGGAGTCATACACGATCCCTAAAGGAACCATCGTGTTCCCGTCGGTTTTTGATAGCTCCTTTCAAGGGTTCACCAAACCGGTCCGGTTTGACCCGGATCGGTTCTCCGAGTATAGACAAGAGGATCAGTTATTCAAAAAGAATTTCTTAACCTTTGGAGCTGGGCCTCACCAGTGTGTGGGTCAAAGGTATGCCATCAACCTTTTGGTACTGTTTATCGCAATGTTCTGTACGTTGCTTAATTTCAAGAGGTGTAGAACGGACGGCTGTGATGATATTGTTTATAATCCTACGATCAGTCCCAAGGATGGCTGCATTGTTTCCTTGTCTAGGCGGTGTACCCGATATCCTAATCTCTCTTTGGAATGACAGAAACGCCTTTGGTTGACTAACAATCTGCAGAGTATTTATAATTTTACTTAATTTTTTTTTCCCTTTTGTGTGGCTTGTGAATGTGTATAGAAAGCTTGGGTGGACGATCAGGATTCTTTTGGCCAGCATTGTTTGTGTGGTAACTTTTGTTTGTTGGATTATTGGGTTTAGTTGAGAGTGGTAGCCACCTCCCAATAAATTATTGTGATTCAATAAGACAATCCTTCCTTTTCTACTATTACATTATTAAGGGTTTAATTTGTCTTTAGTTAGCTCAAATATTGTGAAAGGTTTTCTTCTGTTATTTTAAGGTTTTAGATTGATGTTGGCTTATGATCGATAAGCTCAGCTAGTTGGCAATGCAGTCTCCACATCCATGTCTTGACCTTTAAAGAAGTTGACAAGCTTAGAGTGAAAAATACCAGTACAAAACTACTGTCGAAGGGAAAAAGTTCAAACAAGAATGCTTCGGGTTTCTTTTCCCAGTACATTTTTGTTTTGAATAATTACTATTGACATTTACCGAAATGAATGTTGACAGTTGGTCAATTTAAATAGGATATCGAAACATCAGCTGATCAGAAGACACGTATAAATAATTTGTTAATACATAAGCAAGTCAGCGCAGCACATCAATTATAGAAACAAGCTGCTGCCGAAGTTATGTAATGTCAGCATCCATTTTACGGTTGCCGGTACTTTTACCCCTTTTTTTTTTTTCTTTGGTTGAGCAGTAAGACTATTTTCGCTTATCTCTAGATTAATTACTTCTTAATCTTATTTAAGGAACAATCTTTAGCATACGTACGACTTTGAGTATTACTATAGGAAGTAAAAATTTCAATGGTGATTTACTATTTATTTATTGTAGCTTTACACTCAGTGGGCAGAAGCATGGTTTTTTGAACTTTTGGTGGGAGAAAATATAAAAATTATGTAATCTTTTACACCTTGATATTTAATATTTTTGAAAATTTTATTTTGATCCATATTTTCATTTGTTGATATATTTTGATCTCTAGGTGTAGATAAAAGGGAGGAAAGAAGAGAGAGACGAAACGAGAAAGAGAGAGAGTTAGCCAATCTTATTTAGGTCACTTTGACCGGTGAAACTCTATTAAATTTTTTGATCTTTAAGAGGTGAGTCTATCTATGATGGTTTCAAGCCATTAAATAATTAGTGAAGATAAATAGAAGCAAAAAAAAAAAAAAATCGATCTAATTATGTATTGTTTCTTTTTTGATGTATATTAAAATGATTTTTAAGGTTTTAAATATGTTTATTAACTTTATTTTTATTATTTAGAGGTGTTTACTGAAAAAAATAATGTCGAAATTAAATTTTTAGGGATGCGAAACTTGACCTTTGATTTTTTGGTGAAGTTTCAGACGACCTTGAGTTCACTTAGAAGTTGCAAATTTTTCTTCTTTTGTTTATTATTATTATTATTATTTGGCACTACGGCATAGGCCTAGAGAATTAGGCCCAAGGCGCACGACGAGCATACACGAGCGGCCACGGCCTAGCACTCGGGCTTGCACATGCGAGCCTCGGCTCATTGGGCTAGCTTGGCGGCACGGTCTTAATTCGTCTAAGCGGCCTCGTGCATGGACTCGCACGGGTAGCCCACGAGCGAGCTTGGCCATTTTTCTTTTTCTTTTTCTTTTTCTTTTTCTTTTTTTTCTCTTTCAATAATTTATTTTTATATTTTTTATCATAATTAAGTGTGAAAAATATAAAAAAATAGATTGTTATTATTATTATTATTATTTTACATACGAGTTTGATAGCGGTAGAATATATATGATATTTTTGTTTGAACATATATATCTGATCATATTACTCTTATTGTTTAAAATTTATTTCTTCAATTATTTATTTCTTATTAAAATTCTCATAAAATTAATTTTTTTAATTTTTTGATATAATTTTATTTGTTAATACATTTGGTTTTTTTATATATAGATTTTGGAAATAAAATTTTAGAACGTGAGTGTTTTATTTCGAAATATATTATTACAATTTACATGATGGATTATTTTTATAATTTTTAAATGAGAGTAGCATAGTTGCACACATATATAATTAAAATTTATCGAAACTAATTTTGTAGTAGTTTTAGAGAGAGAGAGAGAAAGTTAAAAGCGTGTTTTAGATAATTTGATTAAAATATTTTCTTTAGAAAAATTAATAATCGATTAAAAAAAAACTCATGGGTTTTATTTTCTTTTTTATATATATAATAAGAAGTTATCGAACTAATTTCGTGGTAGTTTTTATTTTAATTTATTCACTTTGATATATTTCATACAATTTAGGTGGATATATATGCATGAATCATTAGTTTTATTAAAAATTAACTATTTACTTGCACACTTAACACCAATTATTGATCTTTATTTTTTTCATGTTCCAAAATATGTATTTTTAAATAAAATAATTTAAATAATTTTTTGAAAGAACCTTTCAATTATTCAAATATAATTTTTTATGCTAATATTATTAATTATTTTTTAATAAATATATATAAATTAAATAATTTCACTCAATAGATAGATTCGATTTAAATTAATTATCGGAAAACAAGACTTACGCTCCCACCATACCATATAAATCATTAATCCTATGTATGTAATGGTTGTCGACCTCGACGTAGCGTGTGTATCCGACTAGTTAGTATTCTAATGGGAATGTGAGAGATTAAAAGCAATATCAATAATAACTTTCTACATATATAAGAATTATGTTATAGATGGTTTGTCATTTGTTTCATCTAAATGAAAGTTTTTACTTGAAAGTACGGGGAAATGATTGAGAAGACCTCATGTATATATATATATATATATATATGAAAGGTGTTTTTTTATGATGTGGATTTTACAAAAATCTAGAACCAATAAAGTTAAAACAAGCATGGATTGATTAGAAATTCAAGTACAAACAAAGAATGTTTACATCATAATTAAACTAAAGAAGTTTAAATCAAGCAATAAACTAAAAAGGTTTGGAGGTAGTACGAGGAGATAAAAGAGGTGATGAAAGGGATACGGGTCAAATAACGAGCTACAAAACCTTATCATGGAGCAACAAAGTACCATACATAGGCTTAATTCTCGGTACGAAACGATAGCCTCCATGTTGATTAGGTTCGCACGGACATTTAGATTGCCTATATATTCTTCCATCGGTCGAGACTCCATCGTTCCCCTTACCGAACCTCCCATCCGAGCCTCCCATCGAGTCCTAGGAGGAGGATAGGGGATTAGACGATCGGGATGACAATTGCGGCCGACAATCCATTTTCTTAATTTTTTTTTATTCTTTCATATGTACTTATCGAATCTTTTCTTGTTAATATTAATTTATATTTAATTTATAATATTTAAATTTTAATAATACTTTGTTTTTTGTAATTTTTATTTACCACTAGAATATCATTAATTTAAAAACAAACAAACAAAATAAAAAAAATTAAAATTTTTTTAAAAATAATTAGCGACGGAATAGCGATGAATCTAGTAATGAATTTCCATGCCAATGATAATGGAGTTGCAATGATTTGTTTAACATTCGGCGATGGTTAAGTGACGAATGGCATTTAGCTTTAGATATCGGTGATGACATTTCGATTGTTAAACAATGATGACACTAGAAATGGAATAGAGATGCTTAATACGATGATTTATGATGACCGATTTAGCAATGTACATTACCCATTTGGTAAAAAAAATGTCATCACTATATTAGCAACAAATTGCTTTTCATCTTCATTAGTGTTAGCGATAAGCGTTTTAGTGACGAACATAATTTATGTCCCTATGTCATCACTAAGTAACTTTAATGATGGATTTTGGCTAATTAGCAATGAAAAAATTCGTCGCTAATTGCCACTTTTCTTATAGTGGACTCTCCTTACTCTCTCTTGTTTATCATGTCGGACTTAGAAAATATTCTATGTTCTATGTTTTCACATATTTACTTTCCTTGTAATCTACTAATTCATTTTCCTTATACATAATTATAATCCCTTAATTTTAGCTCGTAATGCTATAGAATTTGATTTACAACCCTTAATTTCAGCTTGTAATCCCATAGAATTAGGATAGTGATTCCCTTGATTTAAAACATACGGTGACTAACACAAGTATAAATATCTCTACTCATATTTGCTTTAAGTAGCGAATACAATTCATTCTTCTCTCAAACTTGACATAGTATTAGAGCAGATTTGATCCATTATCTTTCCATAGCCTTCCTCTTTTCGACCTGCTGTTCAAATATTTTTTTCAAATTTTTATCAATATATCTAGTGATAATATTAGAGATAATTCTTCTCGAGCCAATACCATAGAAAATCCTCTTCATGTCCACTCCTTCACTCACAATACATATCAATCAATAGCTGATTCTTCAAGTCCTTTTTATCTTCATCACTCGAATAATCCTAGAATGCCTCTTATCATAACTCTTTTAACGAGATGATAATTATCCTTGTAGGAATCAAGCCATGATAACTACTTTAAGTGCAAAGAACAAACTAGGATTTATGAATGGTACTTTAAAGAAACCAGATTTATCATCCAATATTTATGCTACTCGGATTTGCTATAATGATCATGGATCCTTAATGTCGTCTCTAAAGAGAATGCTTCCGGCATTATGTTTAAGACGTTGGCATAAAAAATGTGGCTTGATTTGCAAGAAAGGTATGCCCAATCTAATGCCCCTTGTGTTTATGAATTGCATCGTGATATTGCTTTCACATTGTAATACAACTCTTCCATTAATGTTTATTTCACTAAATTAAATCCTTATGGGTTGAGCATCAAAATTATCAAGTTTTACCACCATGTAATTATGGAGCTACTAAAAATTTGCACGATTACCAATAAAATGAGAAGTTAACAAAATTTCTCATAAGTCCGAATGATTCATATAGTCATATTAGAGGACAAATTCTACTTATGAACCCCATTCCTAGTGTCGAGCGTGTTTATTCTCTCTTTCTTCAAGAAGAAAAGCAACACCAAGTGATCGTTGTACCAAATATGAACTTTAATAATCATGCTTTTGCTATTTCACATTCATACAACGCTAAGAATTATGCAATTGGTTCTAATGGTTTCAAAACTAATCAAAAGAATCGAGGATTTTGTTGATATTGTAAGAAGGAGAGACATATAAAACATGAATGTTTTAAATTGCATGGTTATCCACTTGGACATCAATTTCATTAAGGCTATAAGACATTGTCATATCATGAAAATAAGCCATCTAGTGATGCAAAAAGGTCTCCTACGTCCGATTTGGCCTCTTTAATAGTTGATTAAGTCCAATAACTTTTAAGTTTTTTGCCTAACACTCAAACTTCTCAAGCCAATTTTGTAGGTACTATATTAAGCCCTCATAATAACTTTGTTTGGATAGTTGATACAAGTACCTCAAATCATATTTCATTCTTATACAATTGCTTCTAATGTTTCACCTGTAAGACTACTAAATGGTTCTTTTGTTAATGTGTCACATGTTGGCTCGATCTATCTCACTCTTGATATACTCTTAGATAATGTTCTTTGTATACCTTCTTTCAATTATAATCTTATTTCTATTAGCAAACTAACATCTCAACTCTTAATTTTTGTTGTTCTATATATGAATTCATGTCTTTTTCAAGACCTATCGTGGATGAAGATGATTAGAGTGGCTGAAAAGTTGAATAGACTATATTATTTTCATCTTGGAGAAGTCTGTGTCGAAAGTCAATTCTATTTCCTTGCCTTTAAAGGATATGTGGCATCTTCGTTTAGGAGACCCATCTTCTTCCAGTCTGTCTTTATTATCCAAACTTAATAATAAAATTCATGATTCTCGCTTCTTTGTCTTATTGTCATACTTGTCACATTGCAAAACAAAGAAACGTTTGGTTTTTCCTTTAAGTCATATTTCTACTCATGCACCTTTTGATCTCATCCATTGTGACATATGAGGAGGATATTCTACTCCTACACATAATGGAGCAAAATTTTTCTTAACTATTATAGATGATTTTTCCAAAAATACTTAGATTTTTCTCCTATAACATAAATCCAAAGTTGCATCTCTCTTAAAACAATTTTTTACTCATCTCAAAACATAATTCAATTACAGCATTAAAGCACTCGCACCGATAATGGGTCCGAATTCTTCTCTAAGCATATTGTCCCTTTTTTAAATGAACATGAGATTGCTCATCAACATAGTTGTGTTGGAACTCCCTAACAAAATGGGGTAGCAGAGTGCAAATAAGGTCACATCTTAGAAATTACATGAGTATTATGATTTCAAACAAACATACCTTTATCTTTTTGGGGGGATTGTGTTCTCACAACCACCTACTTGATAAACAAACTTCTTACTCCAAAACTTTAAAATAAAACACCATATGAAATTCTTCTCCATACAACACCATCATATGACCATCTTAGTTTTTGAAAGTCTTTATTATGCCACCACTCTACCTTTCTCTAGAGATAAACTTGGTGCTTGAGTAAAGAAATGTATTTTGTTGGTTATCCTTTAAATCAAAAGGGATACCATTTATATGATCTTGATAATCATCAATATTTAGTTAGTCGGGATGTTATTTTTTATGAACATATTTTTCCCTTTCAAAACATAGCTAGCTCTAACTAATCCAACCGAATTCTTTCTTTACCAATTGTTGACTCATTGCATCATTCTTCCACCTCATCACAAATTATACGTTTAGTTGATGATCACCCTATTTTATTAGAGGGCTCGTCTAATCGCCATACGGATAATTTAGATAAGCTCCTCAACATGAAGGACATACTCTCACCTCTCCTGCAGCCCCATCTCGACCATAACAAATTTGACACTCGTCGGCTTATCTAAAGGATTATCAATGTTTTAATATTCACACTCAATCACTTTTATCATCATCTTCATGATCAAGTACACGGTATCTTATTTCTAATTTTTTATCTTACAATAACTCATCTCCTTCATATCTCTTATTTGTATCAAATGTCACCTATGTTGATGAACCTAAGGCTTACTCTCAAGTTATTAAGATCCAAATTTGAAACCGAGTAATTAATACGGAACTACGAGCTTTAATTACAAACAATACTTTGTGTATTGTTAATCTCCCTCCTCATAAATCTCCAATTGGTTGCAAATGAGTTTTTAAAGTAAAATACCAATCTAATGGCTTCATTGGTCAGTATAAAGCACGACTCATTGTCAAAGGTTATACATAACAAGAAGATGTAGATTTCCATGACACTTTTGATCTTGTGGCAAAGATGAACATGGTCGGATGCCTTTTCGCTATTGCTTCTATAAAGAATTTGGTTTTACATCAACTAAATGTTCATAATGCCTTTCTCCAAGGTGACCTTGATGAAGAAATTTACATGTCCCTTCCACTAGATGTCTAAGGTAAGGGGGACCATTCGGTTTGGAAATTAAATAAGTCCTTATATGGCTTAAAACAAGCATCAAGATAATGGTTTGCTAAATTTTCCTCTACTATTTTATCATATGGTTTTGTTCATTCTCATTTGGATTATTCTTTATTCACTAAATCTTCTTCAAGTGGTTTTTTAGCCATACTTTTTTATGTGGATGATATGGTTATTACTGGAGATAATCCTACTCTAATTGCTTCTTTCATGCATAATTTCATCTTAAAGATCTTAGCAATCTTCGATATTTTCTAGGGTTGGAAGTAACCTATTCCAAGTAAGGGATTTATTTGTCACAATGTAAATATACAATAGAGCTATTATCCGAAAAAGGTTATTGGGTGCTCGTCCACTCTATGTTCCAATAGAGCAAACAGCTAAATTTTTTACAACCGATAGTGAACTCCTAAATGATCCATCTAAGTATAGAAATTTAGTTGGTCGTCTCATCTACTTGATGATTACAAGGCCGAACATTACTTATTATATTCATGTCCTTAGCTAGTTTTTAAGTCAACCTCGCAAACCTCATATAGAAGTTGCTCTTAGATTAGTATGCTACTTGAAATCTGCTCCTGGAAGAGGCTTTCTCCTTTCATCTTCCTCTAATTTCAAGCTATAAGTTTTTAGTGATACGGATTGGGTTAGTTGCTCGAATTTTCATCGCTCAATCTTAAGATTTTGTGCTTTGCTTTTCTCTTAGAAAAGAAAGAAATAAAATACGGTTTCTTGCTCTTCTATTGAATTTGAATATTGAGCTATGACTTCGCTTATAAAGAAATTTTATGGCTTCAATCTTTGTTGTAGGATTTAGGTATTCATCAATATACTCCAGCTTTTCTTCATTTTGATAATCGAGCAAGCACTTCACATTGTTACATATCCAGCTTTTTATGAAAAAAACTAAGCACATTGAAGTTGATTGTCATTTCATTCGTAAGAAAATTCAACAAAAACTCATCCATACTTCTCATATTCCTACTTCACGAGTAACTAGTAGTTATCTTCACCAAACCTTTAGGCAAGTAACCTCTTCACCATCTTCTTCACAAGCTAAGCATTCATGACATTCATGCTCTATCTTGAGCGGGAGTGTCGATTTAGAAAATATTTTCTATTTTCATATTTTTACTTTCCTTGTAATCTCTAATTCATTTTCCTTATACAATGCATTTAACATAAACCTCAACATGCATACTTTTAAATCCTTAATAACATGTAATATAATCAAACATCAAATACATGTTCCATGTAAAACAAGTATGCATACATGCAAACATGAACAACAATAAACATAATTCATGCCTCAAATACACATTTTGGTCGGATGTTTAAGCAACATAATTCATCCATTTTTCACATGATTACAATCACTTTTCACGTCATTTTATACCTCTAAATCTCAAAATTATATTAACCTCAAATAAAGCTCTTTTGCTATTGATTTCTCATTTTTGGCCAAAATTGGTCAATGGAAGGACAACTTTTATTTCTTCTTTTTATCTCAAATTTTCTTCAAAACCGAAAAAAGGTCGGATCTTTTTTTCTCTTTGTGTGGCTAAACTTTGAAGGTTCTCTCCAAGTCACTTCCTCTCTAATGCTTTGTTTTGTTTTTTCAATTTTCCTCCTTCAAAACAAGAAATCCCCCTCTTTATGTCAAATTTTCTTTTGGTTTATATATATATATATATTGATCCCAATCTCTCTCCACCCTCCGATCTTTTTAGATGATTACGATCCTTCCTTTTGCTAGTACAATGGATGGTCCTTCCTTGTCTTCTTCTCTCCCTATTTTATCACTACCATTATGTCACTTTACAAAATATTGAGGGTGGCAAGAATCATAGAGTGAAGGATAAAGAACGACGTCTGGAGTGAACGATTTAAAGAATCGAACACATGTATGTATGTATATATGTATGTATATATGCAAGTCTACCCAAGGAAGGAGAAGAAGAGTGGCGTCTGGAGTGAATGATTTAAAGAATCGAACAACGAGTTGTTTGAAACTATAATATAAGTTCGTTCTATTGTTTGCGTGTCTCTTCCACTCTCGCCCTTTTGTATTTTAATGTCCTTTAATAGCATGTTGCAGCATAGTGCTCGAGGGAGTTATTGTTCATGTTACATTTTTTGTACGTTGTGTTGTGTTGTGTTGTGCCCTTTCTTTTGTTATTTGTATACATTATATTGTTTGTCATCTTGTATTTATCTCGCATATTGTTATTGAAGAATGTTGATTTTGATTCTTTATGATGTTCATCTCATCCTTTGTTTGTTTACCCATATGGATCCAAAATAAGCAGCTATTTAAAATGAGGAATAAAGGATTATCATTTTGAAGAATTATCTCTGTCCTTTTTAACAAAAGTAGGTAGTCTACCGAATTTGTTAAGTAATAGAGCCATAATAAAATGCAGAAGCTTACATTTGTTTTATCACTATTGCTAGAACTATCCTTTGAGAGTTGGAAACTGCTTTGCTTTTTGACAATGCAAAAAAAAAAAAAAAAAAAAAGGAAAGGGAAATGAAAATTAAACTTATAGCAGATTGTTCGATTGAGAAGAAAAAACAAGGCTAAAAACATAATCTTATCTTTCCCATTAACTGCTACATCATGAATTGATAATAATTTGGACAAAAAAACTTGATTAAAATTTTTTTAAAAAAATTGATATACTAAAATAAAAAAAAATTAAAATTAATATATTCAATTGAAAAAATGTTCAGAGTTGCTAATTTTGTTTGGGTGGGGGGTGGGTGTTGTTCAAATTTGGGGTTACGATAACCTCAAGTATGACTATAGAAAATCTGAACTAAAAGTTATGGTTAAGTCAATGCGCCTCGCCTTCAACCATTACATTATGGAAAATATTGTACACAAGATGAAGACAAATCGATCGTGACAGTAGATTGTGACAGTAGATAATCTTGTGCCAGAAGTTTTGAAAAACTCAAAACATAATTGTAAAAAACATTATGCCTGAGACTATGAGGAACTCAATCACGAACGTGGAAGCTATTATGTCAAAATTTTGGACAAACTCGACTATAACCATGGCCAATATTATGCATGAGGTCATGTAAACTCGACTATGTCCGAGGCTACTATTAAGCAAAAAAATCTTGGCGTACTTGATCACGTTTAAATAAATCGTTGTGCCTAAAGATTTGATGAACTTGACCAAGGAAAAAAATGTTTATGATTTATAAATCTCGAACAATCAGATAAAGAAACATTTTTCAATTGACTTTTAGTAATTGGTTCAAATTGATAAGCTTTTGGAGTTTAAAGACAAAATCAAAACATTCAAGAAATATGAATGATTCATCAAGGAAATGACAATGAAAATTGCAATTCAATTTTGAACATGGTAGAAACGGTAGCAAAAAGGTTTCTCTCGGCAAGACTTCTTTTGCTTCAAATTTCTTTTATTGACTTGCTATTTAGAAAAAAAAAAAACTATTTTAGTAAAATTAAAAAATATATATTTTAAAATAGAATTATGTAAAACACTTGCATATTTGGTGTGTGTAATTTTTTTAAAAAATTAATAGAGAAAGTTGTAATTTTTTGATTAAAAAAATATATAAATCCTATAAAAAGCAGTTGTGCTTTTGGTAAAAAGTATAGAGTATCTTGCCAAAACAGTTTTTTTTTTTTAACTGATACCTGTTTTGGTTAAAAGAACAAAACAAGTTTTAACTAAACATTGATTTTAAATGAAAAACTGCTCTGCTTTAAAAGCACAACAATAGCAAACAAGCACGCAATCGTTATTAGTCTCCAATTCTCCCTAGAACTTGATTTGTGATTCCCAACAAATAGAGCCATAAAGGTACTTCGATTAAGCATTTTTAATTAGTCTAAAGGACATATTGATTTGTCCCTATAATCATCATATGATTCCCAACTAGATCGCAACTGGAAAAATATTCATAATGGACAATCCAAAAGCCCATCATTAAAAATTAGAAGCATTAAATTTTTATTTTTATATTTATAAAAGCATGTCAAATACATCAAATTTAATTTACTTCCTATATTCACTTATATTTGTAGTGTTGGCAAGTCTAGGTCAAACTCTAAAAACTAATAAAACAATTATGTTATTTTTAGTAGAGAGAGAGAGGGGGGGGGTTGTTTGTTTAACTAAATTATATATATATAAACAAGAATAAAATAAGTAAAAGTTCAATTAAAGAGACTTCGAGTTCAAGGGAAAATTGAAACAATCAATTTGGAGATTGATCATAGACACCTAAATTAGTATTTTCTTATTAAATACTTAGTCTAGATTTATCTACACTCTAGAATAAATTCGAATCTTTCCTATATTTATTAATTCAAAGGACCCTTATGAATTAAATTTTTATTATTAATTGATATTGGTATTAAAATAAATCTGAATCTTTTCTATATTCATTAATTCAAAGGATCTCTTATGAATTAAATTTATTTTATTAATCGATATTGGTATTAAATAATCCTAATCAAATCAATAATAACATTACAAATTAGGAAGATAGCTATGATCGAACAACAATTTATAACCCCCGAAATTATTTAATTCATTCTTTTGCTTTCCTTAAGTAATCAAACCTAATTTAGTACTTGTACTAACTTTATAAATTAATAAAATTAGTTAGCTATCAACCACAATAGATAATCAACTAACGAGTTATCTTGGATAAATTATTTATGTAATCATAATTAATTAAATTCACAAATCAATTAATTAAGTTTAGAAAAAAATAGATTCTCAAATAATAAAGAATAGTTTAAAGTTCAAATTCGTGTCTCACAATCGTTTACAAATTGAAGTTGAAATCTTTTGAATTGAATTGATAAATTAGGTAGACATTGTTGAAGCATAAAACCCTAATTTATATAAAAGAAAAGTGTGTCTCTCTAATGTATAACCCTAATGGCTATTTTTACATGTATGAAGATAAATATGACATCTCAAAAATCCTATTTAAAATTATTTCGAAATTAATTAGGACTTGTTAATGAATAAGACTTCAAGTTCTATGCTAAAACTTTCAAACTAGTTTAGGATCGAAAGCGATAGAATTTGGACTCGGTCTCTCATGAAAGTTGTAAGCCTAGATGTCTTCTTTTTATAGGCTTTTTGAATCATTTTAATCAAAAGTGTACAACTCTAGATATGATCCAAATATTGATTAGTGTTTCGAATTATCACGAGGATCCAAATTAATGACCTAACTTTGCAATCGATTTTCAAATCCTAAAACAAAATGAATTTATGCATTTAAACCCAATATGGAAAGTCGAAGATGCCACTTCAAACTTGAAGAAGGCCTCTTTCACATTCTAAAGCTCTAAGAATGTGAAATTCTGGTATCTTTCTTTGAAGATCAACATGCCAACATTGAAATTTCGCTTTAATTAGCTCATCTTTGCTCATTTATCTCTATTTTTTTGCTAAGTCACAAAATAAATGGGTTTACCCCATAATTGGTCTCTCGCACATTTCTATTTTTTTTATTGAGACCCTCTAATACTTTTCAACTTGATTGAAACCATATGCTCTCATAAATTTGTTGATTGAGACCCTCCGTTATGACCTCGTTAACTATTCATCCTACGTGACAAGTTAAAACTAACGACAATTAATCACACAACGACATGTGGCAATGTGGTCCCTTATCATGTCGGTATAAATCAAAACAAAAATGAAAAAAAATTAAATTAACAAAAAAGAGTGAAATAAATAAAAAGTGAAAAGACCTAATTAACCCAACCTATTTTATCCCAAAGTAAATGAATAAACCAAATGAACGGACATTAGATTTATCAACACACACCATCGTTTGTAATTCTTTTTCTTTTTGTCTTTCTTACTCGACAAGATTATTTGAAATTTCTTCATTTGAAATTCTTCTCCTCTTTGTCTTCCCTCCCGACAAGATTTCTTTCATCCTCTCTGTTTCGTCTTGTCTTCGTCCGCTTCATCTTTTTCTTTCTAAACCTTAAGAAAAACCCTAATTCTTTATCATGATTGATATGTGAAGGATGACATTTGAAGTGTATTAGACTAGGCATCCTCTTCCGACATTTTTATCTCGTTTATACGGGGTTAATTAGGTAAACAATCTCTTCTTTTTATCTCGCTTCATCTTCTTATTTCCCAATTATAAGAAAAACACTAATTTTTCATCATGATTTATCGGTGAAGAAGGATATTAGTAGTGTATTCGATCGGGCATCTTTTTCTAGCATCTTCATCGGCTTGTACGGGGTTAATAAGGTAAACAATTGTGATATTTTATAAAATTTTAATTGTAATTTGATTGCATTTTGAATGGATTTTTATGAATATTGTTGTTTTGAATTGAATAGCTTATGAAAAATATGTTTTATCTTAGTTTTATCGGTTATGGTTGGGGGTTTTGAATTAAATGGCTTAAGAAAAACACTCGCCTTATATTGGTTTTGTAGTCATGGGTTTTGGTTTGTTAGTTATGGGTTATAAATTTTTTATTGAATGGCTTATGAAAAACACTACCCTATCTTGGTTTTGTCGATTATGGGTTTTAGGTTTTGAATTGCATGGCTTATGCAAAGTACTTGTCTTACCTTGGTTTTGTCGGTTATAAGTTTTTATCAATATTGTTGTTTATTGAATTCAATGGATTTTATGTATTTGTTTATGTTTTTTCTATTTGGATACTTTATAATTTTTGCTTTTTTTTTGTTTGTTTGCCTTTATGTTCCTCGGTAATAGTATGAGGTGAAATGTCTAAATTAAGACTTCATTTTAAGGTTGAATTACGAAAAAGGCTTACCTTGTCTATTAGTGTAGAGGAGATTATTGAGAGAGAAAATATAGACTCGATTTAATAGGGCTTAAAGGTCTATTAGATATGATCGAGGAACATGGATATGAGAAGTGTAAGGCAATGTTTTATAGAGATGTCGATCCTAAATTACCTTTTGAACGAGTATTAAGGAAGTGAAGGGTGATATTAGTTGTTTACCTATAATAGAAATGTTGTGTGATGGAATTATTGTTGACTTATATTATAAGAAAATTGAGTTAATACACCCTTGCTTGGTTATGATAACCCAAAAGTCGTATGTAGCGAGCTTGGAATCAATGAACATGGGCAGTGGGTTGGTAACCCTAGTTATGAGCGAGAAGATGAAGAAGATGATGAAATTGAAGAAATAAATGTGTCTAGTTTTATAGGTAGTATTGTCCATACAAGTCGTGGTTCTAGTATCATGGAACAAGATGAGGGTAGTAAAGTCCATATAGGTAGGCATGATGTGGTGAATACTGGTGAGGGTAGTACTACCCATTTAAGTGGTATTAGTCGAATATTAATAAAAATGAGGGTAGTGTTATCCATTTAAGTGGAGTTATTCAGAATGTTAATAAAGATGAGGGTAGTGTTATCCATTTAAGTGGGACTAGTTAGAATGTTAATAAAGATGAGGGTGGTAAAGTCCATATAGGTGGGCAAGGTGTGATGAATACTGGTAAGGGTAGTAATGTCCAATTTAGTAAGGTTAGGAAAAATATTCATAAAGAGATAATTATTGAGCGAAATGAGGATTCATATGATGATGTTGAAGATGCTGAATATTGAGTGGATGTAGAGTGGGTATCCGATGATGAGGAATTAAAAGAAGTTAGAGAAAAGGTTAAAAAGATAAAAGCGAGTCTCGGGTAAAGTTAATGCAATTGTAGAGGGAAATGTAAAGGGAAACTTGGAGGAAAATATAGAGGGAAACTTAGAGAGGAAAAGGTCGAGGGAACTACAAAGGAATAGTTTAGTGAAAATAGAGAGAAAAAAATTAAGAGTAGAGCAAAACTAGAAGCTGAATTGAATGAGTATTACAATTCGAAGAAAGGGAGGAATACATACCTAGTGA